TGCCCGCTGTGCCGCCTGAGGGGCCTTCATACGCACCCCACCATAGGGAAGCGGGGAGGTTCCCCAAAAATTAACCACGCCCCCATGCGCCCGAGTCCCCTTTCCGCGCGCCCTCGGGGGACTCCTACCTTGACGGGAAGATTTGTCTGGCGGGGGGGGGACTGGGACCCCGGACACCCATAGAAACCTACGATCTTTCTCGGGGTCCGAAAAGGGCGCAGGCAAGTCAATGGCTCACGCAGGCTGCATCTGGGACAGTGGGAGGGGAGGCTGGGGGAGTTGCAGTGCGCAAGGGAGACAAAGTGCATGTGACATAAAAGCAGCATAAATGCGTCCCCTCCTCCCTGGGCTTGTCAGGGACCCGGCGGAGTTGTGACTAGAGAAAGAAAAAAACAAGTGTGCAAGTTTGGGCACATTGCAATATTGCACTTTAAAAACAAGGCATCTCTTAGTAGCCATAAACATTGCAATGTTAATCGGGGGGTCGCCCAAAGTTTTTCATAGGGGTCCGTTCACTGGTGCATAGGGCCCTCTCCCATCCCGTGTCTTTTGTTTTTGTTTTTTGGGGGGAGGAGGTGTGTGTGTGTCTGCCTGCCTGCCTGTCTGTCTAATGGATTAGAGCAGAAGTTGGGAACCTCTTCGGGTAAGGGGCCACCGACTCAGAAGAATCAGTCAGGGGCCACACACAAGTGAGAAGCAGCAAAAAAGCCCCACCATCCTCACTGAGTGGCCCCCAACGGAGAGGAGAAAAACACTCCCCACGTTCCTCTCACACACCACAACGTAGGGGGGCCCAGCCTAGTAGATTTTGTGTGCTCCAGCCCAAGGTGGAACAACAAGAGGGCTGGAGTGCCAGAGCAGGCTCCCCAATGATGGGGGACCCTGAGCCTTGGAGGGCTGGATCCAGGCAAGTCTGGGTCTGCATCCAGCCCCTAAGCCTGAGGTTCCCCACCCCTGGATTAGAGGCTCTACAGGTTTTAGCATTTGTAATTTTGTGTTTTTCATTAACCATTGAGGGTACGTCTACTACCCTGCTGCTAGCTACCCTGCATCTACACAAGCTACCCATTATTTCAAAATATTTTTTGAAATAATGGGCACGATATTTCGGCATCCCAGTAACTCTTGTCACGCCATGATTAAAGGGATGTCTTGAAATAGCACCTTCTTTCGAAATTTGGTGCTGTGTAGACACGCCAAATTTCAAAATAAGCTATTTAAAAATAGACTCGAAATAAGATATGCAGTTTGCATAACGCAAATTGCGTATCTCATTTTGAGTTTAGGGTGTTCTGTAGACACACCCATATTTTGCACTTTTTATTGACTGTATTTTTAGTAGACAATAAAAAGTAGACGTTACTAAACCATAGATACTTTAGTAGCTAATGCTGCAAAGACAGTACTAAGCCATAGGTATTGTGGGTAGTGATGATAATAATAATTAATACTTTAGCTGTTATCTAGCCCTATTAATCAGTAGACTTAAAGATGTTTCACAAAGGAGGGCTGTTTCATTACCCTCAGTTTACAGAGGGGGGAAGAGGGAAGTGATTTGTCCATGGCCACCTGGCAGACCCCATAACAAAATCCAAATTCTCAACCCCAGCCTGGCTCTCTAGCCAGTAGGCCACACTGCTGGTGCTGTTATAGTCAACAGGACAATGCACAGTGTGTAAAGTTAAACATAAAGCCCAGATCCTGCAAACACACTCATGCTGAACTTTACCCTGATGAGTATGGTGCTTAATTTGTAATGAAAGAGCTGCCACTACTCAAAGCATTTTTTTTACACTCATAACTGAATCAACAAGTGAGGTGCCATAGCTACAGACTGCCAAGACTACAGGTGTCATGGCTCAGCCCTGGCAAAAATTAAGCATTGGATGAGTAGCCCTATTGAACTCAGTGAAGCTTCTGGTAGAAGTGGTGTTAAAGCATATATGTAAGTGTTTGTAGGATCACAGCCTAAGCTGCTGCTGTGACGTGCCACAATATTTGTCTGTCCTTATTGTTCATTATTATTTGCATATTAATGATTTTATTATTTTAATCAACTTTGGTGCTATTAATTATTTCTCCCATGTAGGCTTGGTATTGCAGTCTCTGGTGTGCATTTTCATTTTTATTTTCCAATTTTGGATTGCTGTACTTTACTTTCTACACTTTTGCAATTTTGGATTGCTGCTAAATTGGCATTTTTGAGTCCCTAGTGCTTTCCTGGCTTGGGGGGTAAAATTTTCAAAAGTGCCAATGTGATGTAGGAGCTTAAACACCATTTTGAAATGTAGTAACCTACATCACATTGATTTTCAATGGGACTTAAGATGCCTAAAGCCCAGAGGAGCCTAAACATGCTTGAGGATCTATGCCTCAGGAGTCTGCCTCTTTTGAAAATGACTCCTACAGCAGTGTGCATGAAGTAAGGATGTTAAATTTAGATTAATCAACTAATCAAATAGTTGATGTAATTTGCATTGATTATTCGATTAGTTGATAAGGGTGCCTCTGCCTTTGAAATATAGCAAGAGCCCTTCCAGCTCTTGCTACATTTCAAAGGCAGAAGCGCTGCAGTCTCCCACTGGCCCCGCGCTCCCTGCTTTTGAAATGTCTAAGAGCCCTGGAAGGACTCTTGTACATTTCAAAAGCAAAATGCCACAGGGGTCCCCAGCTTGCCCCAGGCTTCCCACAGCACTTCTGCTTTTCAAATTTAGCAAGAGCTCTTGCTACATTTCAAAGGCAGAAGCACCACCAGTTCCCCCCTGCACCCCTGCCCCTTTTTCCCACGGAGATGGTACTGGGGGGAACCGGCTTTAAAGCAGGCTCCCACCA